GGGAAGTGTACTCACAGAGGGCATTATGGGAAGTGTACCCAATGGCATTATGGGCAGTGTACTCACATAGGGCATTATGGGAAGTGTACCCAATGGCATTATGGGAAGTATACTCACAGAGGACAGAGAGCAGGGCCAGGGCCAGGCCCAGCCATAGCAGGTTGCCGCGCACCGCCCAGGCACTGCTGCAGTCCATCTTGTTCTTCTTGCAGGTGCACACCTGCACTTTGATCTCGGTGCTGTTGGACAGCTGTGGCACCCCTGAGTCGGTCACCAGAAGGGGCAGCTGGTAGTTTGCTCTCTTCAGGCTGTGTAGCAGTGTGACCTGGGAGTGTGTACCTTAAACATAAGGCAGAAAAACAAAAGTATGAGTCAACAGACAGCGCAGGTTTGCACCACACAGACCGGTCATATGACACTCATGCTCCTTAGATTTAAGCAGAATTGTGTTCTATACACGGCCAATTTAAGCGCTGCTAGGGAATCTTTCCAAAAGAACAAGAGACAAGCTTCCAAATGGAAACTTACAACCTTTTAGACTCCATCCCTGACCATCAACTCCTCTTTCTGCAAAACACTGCATTTTTTAAATTTAAGTGAATAGCTTTATTTGGCTGCACATTCCTTAGATTAAAAATCATTGAACTTGAACATGAATGGGGGGGGGGCACACTGCCACTTCAGCTGTTATTTCAATTATTTCTGTGTAATCAGATATTATGTGTCAAACATCAAAAAGACAAATGCCCAATTAGCCCATGCTGAATGAATGAGCAAACATGGTTTGTCAATATGCTGTACTGGGCTAATGCTGCACCACTGCTGGGGAAATATCACAGGATCAAAAGGGATCCAACCAGGGATCTACTCAGAGATCTACCAGGGCTCTGACACCCAGCTATCAGACGTTAACTGAGCGCTTTCATTCTACTCTGGATCTAAGTAGAATTGACACACTTGGTGCTGCTGTTGAGGTTCCCCATCTTCAGACATTTGGGATTTTTCATAAAGACGTCTCAGTGAACTCCAAACCACCTCCTGATGTTTCCCCTGCTTGCTGTTGACTCACATCTCCATGGTTGGCAGCTTGAAAGCCACCCCCACTCCTCATGTGAGGGCTTTGCACGTCCTCCCTGTTTCCCACCCCTTTCTGCTGAGCACTCCGCATCCCTCCTGCAGTCCACAGACATGCAGTCATACTAACAGTGTGTGCATGCCCTGCGATGGGTGTGCATGCCCTGCGATGGGTGTGCATGCCCTGCGATGGACTGGATTCGCATTCAGGATGGACCCCAGCCTTGCCCTAGTGCCACCTGGGATAGACTCCAGGCTTGCTCCAACCGTGACTAGGATAAGCAGATAGATGATGGATGGATGGATGGACGGATATGCCTACGGGACTGCATTCAAATTAGGGAATCTAATTTTGAAGCTGCACTTATGTACCAATTTGTGCCCTTAGCTAAGGGAAACTCCTATCATCCATAACAAGCTATGGAAGAACAATAAGCTAATCGCTATGATCCTTAGCGTGGATATTAGAAGATACAACAAAACGTGGCAGGATATGGATGGCAGAATATTTCTAGGTGTCTATAAATCAGAGAAGATCGTGGATTTTTTTTAAGATGAGGGTCATAAGAGGCGCCAGACTTATCATGTTTTGAATCTGAGTGACAGGGAAGAAGGGACTCCGAGTGGCTCTGTGACCCTGTCCCAAGATTCATCTGTCTGCTTTTACCTGAACGTAACCTGCTCCTAATTCTGAACAAGCCATCGGATTAACAGTGGCCTCAGTAATGAAAAGCACGTTGTGTCTTGGGGGCAGCGTGTGGCTCAGCAGGTCAGGGCGCCATGCCTATGATCAGAAGGTAACTGGTGTGAATCCCAAGGTCGGTGTAGTGATTGCACTACTGGGTCCCGAAGCGAGGCCCTAAAGCCCCAGTCGCTCCAGGAACTGTTGCATCATGCATACTCAAAAAATAATGTATGTTGTTTAGAATAAATGTGCCTGCTGAAGAAAAAATGTAAAAGTAAAATGGTGGGGGTTAACATGAAGTGGTTAAGAAGACCCTGGTTATAATAACTAGCTGCGGTGGTATAAACACCATCAAGGAAGGATCCATTGTGGGGCTGTGTGCTCTCTGCGAAGCCGCTTTCATCTTTTACTTCACTTCTTTCCCCACTCGAGATGAGGTAAAGAAAGAGTTTTCCTCGCAAAAAACCTGCAGCTAATGGCTTCCGCACAAAGACGCCCCCCCTCACTCGTCAAAGGAAGGGAGCGGCCAGGCATGCCACCCCCACCTAAATTCACCGCCCCGTCCATTTGCCTCCCGCATGGCCTGTTCCTCCACCGGCAGCGATCTGGGCTGCGGAGAGGCTCCGGAAGAGTGCCCCGGCCCTCACTGTACTTCTTGAAAGTTTTATTGTTGGAGGAAAATAGAAAAAAAGCAGCACTTCCATCACAGGAGTGTGCAAATGTGTCAACCTTTCTCCACCAGTGGCTGGTCACACACATGAAGTCCAAGAACCAGCTCATGGGGGACCTTGATGGATGGAGGTTTGAATTGTCATTTTATGTGACATTTCTCTCTGGCCTGAGGCCTGGCTGGTTTGCTGAGGGATTGTTCTGTTCCGGCCAGTGGCCGCACTGCCTCATACCACCATCGCAGCCTCCATGACGGTCTCACTCTGATTCTTGGGGGGGGGAGGTGGCGCATGACTCAGTGGATGGCAGAGTGTGGCTCAATGGGTTAGGATGCTTTGCCTGTGATCAGAAGGTTGTCTATTCAAACCCCCAAATCAGCAGAGTGATTTCACCACTGGGCCCCTGAACAAGACCCTCAAGAAGGAAAAAAAAAATATTTCAACTTGAATAAAAGGTTCTGCTAAATAAATAAATGTAACTGGTTCTCTTCTTTCCATGTAAACGGCTGATCAGAACATTGACCCAGGGATTCAAACTAGCCAGAAGGCCTGAGAAAAAACAGCACCTTCAGCTAGCAGAATTGGCAGGAAGGGGAGGACACAAGCTCATATTTTTATATATATATATTTAAGAAGTCGGGGGGCCTCACAAGGCTGCCACAGCAAATCACTGGCAGAAAGAGAGCCGCTATTTTTTGGACACCTCAGGAAGCTTTTCGCTCCAGCCTCCCCCGCAGCTAAAGCCTTGCCGTGCTCAGACTGGTAACTTATTTACCCAGCAGACACCTGTAACGCGACACCCACCAGTAGGTGGCTCCAAGGATCGACGGCGACATCGCCACTCGGACGACATTAAAATGGTAAGGACAGACGAAACAAAAATATCGGGCTATTTCTGTCTGCCTCTAATTATGCTAATTTATACATTAATATCATCCTCTGAGGAGTCAGTGTAGCTAGTAAATGGTTTAAATCAGAGGGAATTAGCAGAAGTTTGAGAGGCGCATAAAAACCACTAATCTGTAAGTAAATTTCAAACAAATGTTCAGTAGATTTTTCATATGAGTAAATTAGCCCTGCTGATAATGTGTACAGTTCCCAGAATAGTGCAGGATATAAGCAGCAGATGATAATCACAGGGCCGGGTCAGAGTCTGGAGAGGCAGCAGCATGCAGCTTTAAGGTGCGCTGAGCGGGTCAAGCACAGAGTACCACCGAGGCGGCTAGGATGGTAGCCGTCAGAGCAGGCGGAGGCCTGCCTCAACCATCCTTCTCATACAGTAGCTTCCTCCTGGTCATGTGACTGTTTTGCCTCATATCTATGAATTATATTTCCTTGGCATTTAAACTGAAGCTCTAACAAAAAGTTTAAAATCAAATAAAAACGGTGACTCCATGTAACTTGTATTTCTTTCATGTAAATGTATCTTACAGTACTTTGGAACGTACTTCACTAAAGACATATTAAGTCATCAGGTACAATAATCGCTCTGTGACTATAAATCCAGGAGGACAACCCAATGAACGACATCACTTCCTGTGCGTGCCTGACAGAACGGCCAATTAAAATGAAGCACTGCTATGAAAGGCCACACATGCTGAACAGATGCTGAACAGAACCACAGAGCGAGAGATCGTTCTGGAAAGGGGGGTGGGGGGGGGGGTAGCTCTTACTTTTAATTGCCTCTGTATATGAAGAGAGTGAAGTGCCGTGTTTATCACATTTGAGGGTGAGTGAGGAGCAGGTAAGTTGCGCTGTGCATTTAAATATGGGCACGGGAAATCTATTGGGGCTATCTTTCCAAGGAGAAATGCCCGCGGTTGCAGAAAGACGACCCAGAGACACCTTGCGCAATTAACACTTGTTAAACAGCTACACCTCCGCACAAGACCTCCCAGCCCCGCTGGCATCTTCATCGCAGTGCCCGGCCGGAGGAGGACAGATCGTGGCCCGGTTGCTAAGATCGAGAGCCATGCATGTGGGTCTCTGAGCTGAGGGCCAGCTGAGTAGGAGCTGTCTGCTGGAGGGGAGGTCAGGAGGAATACTCTGGTTCTCAGCATCACTATAATTATGGAAAGGGGTGGAAATACCAAAGTAGACTAAGAAGGATGCATGGTTTTCTGATACATTTGGGTTAGAGAGCGATAGAGATTGTATCTCATGCTATTTTGACTGCATTGGGACTGTTCTGGTATGAATGGGTAGATGTTTGGGGTAGACGGTGGCGGTGAGTGTCTGTCATGCTTTTGTGACCGTGTTGGGACCGCATTAGGACCATTCTGGTATTAATGGGTGGACATTTGAGTCAGAGAGCGACAGTGATTGTTTGTCATGCTTTTGTGACCGTGTTGGGACCAGGTTAAGACCGCACTGGGACTGTTCTGGTGTTAATTGGTGGACATTTGGGTTAGAGAATGACAGCGATTGTTTCTCATGCTTTTGTGGCCACGGTGGGACCAGGTTAAGACCGCACTGGGACCGTTCTACTGTTAATGGGCGGGCTTAGGGGTTAGAGAGCAGCATGGTGTTTCTCATGCTTTTGTGACCGCGGTGGGAGCACATTAGGACCGTGTTGGGATCACGTGCGTTGGCGACACTCACTGTTGACTGTAGTGACCTTCCATGTCTTCTCCAGGCCCGGCTGCTTGCCCAGCTCGATTTTGAAGGGGTCGGCGTTGGGGAAGACGTCCTTGTCCCTGCCACCCACGACCATCACGTTCAAGTCCTTGGCCTCCTCACAGATGCGCGCCACGCTCGGATAGAGGTACGGGGGGTTGTCGTTTTCATCCTCCAGCGTTATAACCAGTGTCCCTGTGCCTGTGGCAGCTGGGCTACCTGTAATGGGAGCCAGAGCATCTGCGCGTCACATCACACACACCTCAGGCGGGTCACATCACACACACCTCAGGCGGGTCACATCACACACACCTCAGACGGGTCACATCACACACACCTCAGGCGGGTCACATCTCACAGACACGCTGTATTATTTTTAATACTTTTTTCATTTTTGGTTTGAAGATTAATTCCTTCCAGCACCAGTGATTCATTTTGCCCTTAATGCAAGATTACACACTTTGCTGGTGTAAAGCTTAAAATGACACAAACCAGAGAGTGGCAGCTTGGATTTAATGAAGGGACTATATTTGGATGTTGCTCTTAATGATGCTGATGTGATTTGTGGACTCCGCTGTAAGACACTGTCAGAAACGCACTGGAAGTCTCCGGAAGTAACGGACAGCGGAGGCGCAAGATATTAACTCACAGCCTGTTCCCATGGCACACCGATGAAGCTACGCATACTGACGCACACACGTGTACACATACAGGGTCATTTATAAGGGGGGAGAAGTCAGAAGACTTTCAGGGGCCTAGACACTAGGGGGCGCCCATGAGAAACATTGCGGTGGTGGAGAGGGGACTTTCCATATAATTTTGCAGGGATCCAGCTATGTCTCCATGTAGCCCTACAAACATACACAGATAGCTGCTGATGAGTCAAAACATTAAACCCATTCTTCAGAAAACCCAAAACACACACACACTCGTCTATAAACCTAAGTCTAGGCAGGACATGTCAGTCCCGCAGCGATACAGATGGCGGTTCCACGCCTCTCTGGTTCCCGCGCTCGTCGCTCTTACAAAGCCAGTGACATGCGGGTGACGCTTCTCGCCAGGAAGCTGCCCAGGCTGCCGGCCGGAGGCTTCATGCAGCGCGCTGGGCAGCCATCAGCATCCCGACCCAGATCACCGGCAGAGACACTCGCAGGACCGAAGTCGCAGAGAAAACAAATACATCGAGAAAACAGCTGGAGGAGAGGAATCCAACCTAAAGACACGCCATGTCATTTACGATGAACAATGTGTTGATAATTCACAATCAGTCACCCCTTTATTAGAAACACCTGCCTAGGGCCTGCTGAATTCTTTAAGGCATGAATCCAAAAAGATGCTGGAAACTTGCAGGATGGAGTTTGGTCCTTGATATCTTTACACTTGTGGATTTCCTGTTGATTTTTAATAAGCTTGCTCTCAGCCGACCTTTCCCTAACTAGGTGTTTTCGCCCTCAGAACTGCCATGGCCTGAATCCTCCAATTAATCACTCCATTTTCTGTAAACCCTAGACACGAAAATCACAGATTCACAATATCTTGGATCACACGCTTTCTTGAACAGTCACTGAACCTCTTGCCCCTCTCTGCAGGCTGTGTGCATTCAGCTGCACCCACGTGATGTTTGCATTAATGAGCAGGTGTACATAATGAAAGTGACCAGTGAACGTCGTAGAGATTTACTACAACATCCTGAACCAATAAAACATTTCTTTCAATATATAATAATATGTAAAGCGAAATCTTGCAGAGACAATGACTAGCACAGCACTGGCCCAAGGTTCTGCTCTAATCACTCCCACCTGCACATTGCAAAAAAAATGAATAATTTCCATTTTTTCCCCTCAAACAGCTGTCTCTGACCTAATAAACTGCACAAAACAAAGAATTCACTCTCTCTTAAAACAAAACACGAATAAGAAGGAGAGGTGAAATTAACTGCGTCGGAGAGATTAGAGGTTATTGAAAGCCTTTATCATTAAATACAACCTGGGGGACTGGGGGCAAGTAATGCTGAACACAAAAAAACCAAATTAAAATCCTGAGCTCTTCTGGGGCTATAAACTATAAAAGCCTAAACAGGCTCCCGGCCACCATGACAATATTGGTGGCATTTTTATCCTCCCCAAGCAGGTAAACACAAACATACGCCACGATCCTCCCAATATGACTGTCCACACTCACGCTTCCACAGAAGGAATTAAACACTGGTTGATGGGGGAGGCGACTTTAAAGAAGAAAAGAAATAAATTCCTCGAGCTTAAATTAACTTCCTTAATTGAATTTTCCGTCTGGTTCATCTGTTAACCTCTCTCTGTGGTTTATTATTTTGTGAGATTGCAGGTTCAGACCAAGGACTAGAGCTGCCTTCTAACTGCCCCACCTGTTTAATGAAAGTGAGGCTCCATTTGTGAAATTCTTCAATCCCTCTATCTTTAAAATAAGTAGCGACTGTTTCTACTCATAACAAAGCATTTTTATATGGACTCTCTGGACACTGCTTGCCAGGTAAAGTCTGCGGTTGTCTCGTGCGGAAGATGCGGGGTGTGGTTCTGCAGAATGACAGGTTATGATTATTTCGAGATAAGTCTTTAACTGTACAACCCACCTCACATTAAACTGAGCACGGTACTTGGACTGGAATGATAAGGAGTGACGGGAACAGCGAACTAGATATTTTGAAATATTACTACTTTTTAACTCTAAATAACAGTATATATAAATTTTCATTAGTCCATGGAGCAAACCGAAGGATTATTTAGTTAGAAGCACAGAACAAATTACACCATTCTATCGTATTTTTGATTTAAAATGGGGAGGTAGAAAAAGGCTTCAACAGATTTAAAATGAAGTAATATAGCTGTAATTTGAGGGGATTCTGGGAGCTGTGTATCCCTTTGCCACTGGTGCTTCACTATAGGATTTCTGTGTGCAGTTCTCTTAGGAGTAGCTGTGCATTCTGAAAAGGTTCTGTGTTGGCTTTGTCCTTGGATGTCAGAGGCCACATCTGGGCCCTCATCGCCATTGCGTTCTCATTGTCATCTCACTTGCTCTCTCATGTCTCGATCGTGTTCCTGCTCCGCTCATGCTCCACGTTCAACGCGCCATCGGAGACGAGTCGAAGCGTTTCACAAAATTAAGCAGCATGTACGTTCAGATGGTCGCAGGCAGCCGAGCGCTAATCGCGCAGTGAGGCCGTCAGCGGGCCGGGGATCTCGATCCTCCTTGACGTATCATCCCCCGTAATGTGTGAGAGACGGATGCTGGAGAACAAATGCAAATTCCCCCCATTTACAAGAAGAAAAATGGAGGTGCCAGTTAAGTGGAATTGCATGCACTTGTTACTCAGCCTTCCAAACGGATGGCCCTTCTTTAATCCCTGCGCCCACTCACCGATCCATCACTCCCCCAGAGCACTCCATGCCGGATCTGCTCTTTAACTCGGATGCCTTTAATTGTCAGTAAAGCAATGATGTATATGTGTAATCATCTCTGGCATCAAAAGCAACTTTCTGCTCCTGTTATTATGCTACTCAGGATCTAGCACTACATAGCTGAACTAAACAGACCGAGGTAACTGTCATTAATTTAAACAACTATTTTAAATAATACTTCAAAAGTACGTATAAGTAGCTGATATTGCGAGGTTTGTCAGCTTGGCCTGGAGCTGTTGCCGTCCTCCATCAGACTCACGCACGATCCTGGCATTTTCTGACTTTCGCAAAATCCGCAACTGCTCTGACAAAATCATGCCGGCTCATTCCACTTTGCCACTGAAAGCGTGTCAATCAAAGGTGCGAAGTCTCACTGCATTCCAGGGAGGAATATGGGGGGGAGGGAGCAGGCACAGCAGGGAGCGAATGAGCCGATAGTGGGTTATGTCAGGTTTGTCTCCAGCACAGGGCTGGACACTAATGGAGGACAAAGGAACAATCAGTCAGCTGAGATAAGGCTGTTCCCACTCCTCATGCACAAGGAGGCCAGGCTTAGGGCTCAGCACATCCAGGTCTTTACCTCCACAAGATGTACTGCACCTATGTCATATATCACCTATCAGTTACATGATTCAGGAGACCCTTCCCAACCTCACTTCACACTAATCATGTGATCATGTAATATGATACAGGGAACCTGTCTGTACCTCATTTAATACTAATCCCATAAACATTACAGGGAACCTGTCTGTACCTCATTTCATACCAATCCCATAAATATTACAGAGAACTTGGCTGTACCTCATTTAATTCCAATCCCATAAACATTACAAGGAACCTGTCTGTACCTCATTTCATACCAATCCCATAAATATTACAAAGAACTTGGCTGTACCTCATTTAATTCCAATCTCATAAATATTACAGAGAACTTGGCTGTACCTCATTTAATACCAATCCCATAAACATTACAGGGAACCTGTCTGTACCTCATTTCATACCAATCCCATAAATATTACAAAGAACTTGGCTGTACCTCATTTAATTCCAATCCCATAAACATTACAGGGAGCCTGTCTGTACCTCATTTAATTCCAATCCCATAAACATTACAAGGAACCTGTGTGTGCCTCATTTAATACCAATCCCATAAACATTACAGGGAACATGTCTGTACCTCATTTCATACTAGCTCCATTAAAAACCTTCACAGTTAATGGCCGCCTCTCTTTAAGGCCTGGATCTGGCTGCCACAGCAGTCTCTGGCCTGACAAGCAACGAGCCTCAGTCTTCAGAGGTGCATTAGCCTGTGTTTGCTAACCCTCATTGATATGCAGGAAAACGGATGGACTTGCATTTGCTGATAGAGAAGAAGGGAGAAGGAGACAATCAAAATGCAAGAATAAAAGTAGGAAGAGAGACAGGGATGTAAAAAGAGAGGGTGATGTGTACAGGGACCTTGTGTTTTTCTTCTTAGCTTTGCATTTATATCTTACGTTTCATTCACATCCTTTCCTCCTTTGTGATATGGACTTTCAAATGGAGCAGATTCAATTTAAGCTAAATAATCAGGAATAGAAAAGTCTGAATATTCACACCAGTAAAATATTCAGCAAATGTTAAAGACATGAGTCATGAGCATTAACTGATGACAAGGAAAATGGGAGCGAGTGAAGGCCTCGGAAGATGCTTGCTGTGAGGTGCGTGCCCTCTTCCAGCCGGGCCAGCGTTCCTGATGCCCTGCTCAGCCTTCAGAGCGTGCAGAGGCGGCGCTGCCATTGGGTCCCC